CTCTGGAGTAATTTGTGTGAGTAAAACTATTCATTTGAATTTCAAAGCACCAGTTCTTGGAAGGAATGGTGGTTTTACTCACTGTATTCGGTGAGAGAGAAAAGCACATTCTTCATTAAGGAGGTCCTGAATAAGGCAGAGGATGAGAAATCTGCCTGCAGGCAGCTGAGCCTCTCCCACTGTTTCCTGTGTGAGGGTGTGAAGTTTGTGCACAGGGAAGAGATGGCTCTGTAGCGCTGTGACCTTGCGGCTGGCACAGAAATACAGAGCTGAGTCCTCAGGTTCACAGAGCTGGATACGCAGGTTAAATTGAGAGGGGACTGAAAGATCCACCATGAAACGATTGGTGGTAGAGGTTCCTTGTTCACTCTTCTTATTGTAATGATAGTTAAATAGCATCTGTAAACCCTGGTCTGAATTTTGTTTGAACCAGAACAGGCTATCATGGTCGGTGAAAGGATTACATCTCAGGATCATGTCCTGTCCTGTGCCTGTGATCAGGTGGCACGGGGTCTGGGTGACTTCAGGATCCATGGAGCCTGTGGGGGATGAGCAGAAGCTGCAGGCAGAGCTCAGAACAGAGACTCAGTGTCGGGGATCAGCAAAGCCAAGGTGTTCCACAGGTGGCCAGGACTCACCTACTCCCAAGAGACAGAATGCCACAGAGCAGAAGAGCCCGGTGACCATGGCAGGGGCAGGGCCAAAATGAAGTGTCTCCAGGGTCTGGAATCAGCTTCCTGTTAGGGAAGGGGAGGGCCCAGGCCCTGGCACTGTGTCGTCTAAAACAGACTGTCTGAGACAGGCCTGCCCACGCTGAGACCCACTGACGCTGTCCCTCTTCAGGAGCTTCTCACTTGCGCCAGAAACACAGGAACCACGGTCACCCTGGCCTCACCCTGATTCTAGTCCTGTCACTGCTCACAAAATAGGACCCATGGCATGACAAAATATGTGTTTTTCTCATTTATGAACGTATTTATATAAAGATATTTCAAGTCATAAAATTAAATTCTCTTATTGAAAAGATATATATGAGGGTATTTCAAAAAGGTCACAGAAAGATTTGTACTTTTTAATTCTATTTTCCACAAACTTTCTGAGTACCCTCACACACATACACACACATATGTATACATATATACATACACACACACATACATATATATGTATATGTATATATGAAGTGTCTAAGATAATCCATGAAATCATATGTATACATATATACATACACACACACACACATACATATATATGTATATGTATATATGAAGTGTCTAAGATAATCCATGAAATAGATCGTCATTGTGTGCGTGTGTGTGTGTGTGTGTGTGTGTGTTTTCACACAAGGGATTTACCATAGCTGCTCTCTTTAGAGTCTGAAGTACAGCACTTGTGTTTTAAAGTCTTACACCACAGATTTTGGCCCCAAGCCCTGCTCCCATTGAAATATCTGGAAAGAATGGGTCCACTGCCGGGTCTTTTCCCTGCTCAGCATGAGGTCAGGAAGAAGCAGTAGAGGCCGGGCCAAGGTAGTTCTCTTGGGACTGTCACACAGGAGGCATTACACTGTGAGGTGCTACAATGTCACTGCACTATCCAGGGAAGGGAGCAGGAAAGGTGCACCAAAAGACGTTGGAATTGTTGCCAGAACACAGGCCTCCAGGAAGACACCCTTTCTGGTCCATGCTTCCTGCCTGTTCATCACATCCCAGGCTTCCCAGGGGTCTGGGGTTTATAACCTTAATCGTGTTTGATGAAAGATTATATATGTCAGAGTCATGTTGTCAAGTCATGAGTTGGAAGATATCCAATCTTGTTATATATTATCCCTCTTGGAGGGACATTTTTATTATGCAAAATTTCATCAAAGTAGGAAAATGACAGAAGTAAAACATGCCCAGGTGAAACTGACGAAGTTGCTGTCACTCTGAGGACTTTCAAGGTAGCCAAGTAAAGGAGCCTTCATTGAGGGAGCATCATTGATAGAGATTTTGAGAGATGAAGAAGAAGGCACAAGTCGGAAAAGGACCAAATAAAAGAAACAGAAAGAAAATTTGGTACAAATGACGGGCATTGGCAGACAGACAGAGAGAAAGGGAGTGAGCTGGGTTTGCTATGAGACTCTCAGCATCTCCAGGAAGAGCAGGAACTCAGACCATCGGAGGACCTGGGAACAGACCCTAAATGAACCCATAACCACTCAGTCAACTCCAGCCTGCTGAACCAATATGAAGTGTTTTTATAGCCAGTGACAGTGTTAGCAGGACGGGTGGGAGACTAGACAGGAGAAGAAGCTGTTTTTTCCTGGATGGTCGATAAAGGTATAATGACTCCTTTCCTCTCGTTTTGCTTTTTATGTCTTGTCTTACCCCATTATCACTGACATATGGTGACATTTATGTATTAATAAATGAATAAGGGAAGGTTGATGTGACATTTTCTTCCCAGAGAAAAGAGATCTGGTAGATTTATTAGCAGGTAGGAATTGGGAAACATTGGAATACATGGAGAGGCAGTGGGGGCCAGGCAGAGAGTGACAGAGGGACTAAGATGAGTTTGCAAGTTGAGGCTTAACAGTGTCGCTAATGCAAACTGTAAGTATGGCTGGGATATATTTACATAGTGAAATGGCAAAAGCAGAAGATGGTACTAGCTTCATGTTTATTTCTTCTATAATTTTTAAAGTTTATTTCATTAAACAGAGAAAAAGAAATCAAGGAATTGCAATATTAATAAATAATTTACTTTTAATATCGTTATTGTTTCATGGTCTAGAATGACCATGTAGTTCATTGTCCAAACTGGGGCACTTTTGTGTGTGAAAATGGGGGCTATTATTAATAACTATGCCAGGACATCAAGCCTAAACTGCCTTGGTAAACCAGGACATCTGATCACCCTACAAAAGTGACTGTCTGACATGCTCCTTTACTGCCATCTAGCAGCAATGGAGGAGATTGCAGGAAATACAAAATTTCTTTGAGATGCCACATTTCAAATTAGCTTCAGTGTTGCGGTGTATAGGAATGATCTATAATGTCCCTTCCAATGAGATAGTCTCTGGATCTGTGTTATCTACATATTTTATTATGTTCAGATACTGCAGGTGGTAGTCATATGTCTTCCACGGCAATCCTGACTGTCCCATGTGGGGAAAATATATGATATATATTTTCATATTTTAAGTCAAAGAATCATAGTAATATCAGATCTTAGAGACCAAATAGCACAAGTCTCTAATTTTGAAGAAGAGAACACTGAGTCCCAGGGAGGTGAAGGCACTTGCCAAGGTCTCACATCTGAAGAAAAGAAAAAAAAAAGAAAGAAAATACTCCCATTTGCAACAACATGGATGGACCTTGAAAGAATAATATTAAGTGAAACGAGTCAGGCAGTGAAAAAGAAATACCACATGTTTTCACTTATTGGAGGGAAATAATATTAAGTGAAACGAGTCAGGCAGTGAAAAAGAAATACCACATGTTTTCACTTATTGGAGGGAAATAATATTAAGTGAAACGAGTCAGGCAGTGAAAAAGAAATACCACATGTTTTCACTTATTGGAGGGAGCTAAAGCTCTTACAACAAGAAAATGGAGGGGACACATCTGGGTGGAAGGGGGGAGAGGGAGGAGGGAGGGAGGTTTTGGTGATGGGACACAATAACTAGCTACATTGTATATTGACAAAATAAAAAAAAAAGATAATAGGAATCTTTCCATGAACAGTTTTAAGACTTCTAGTGCATTGATGGGGAAAGAGTTCCCAGGGGAGCTATGTTTGAGATAAAGCAGTCAGAATGTCTTAGTGTTTTGGTAAGGTAATATTAAATATCTGGTCTCTGCACTTAAAAAAATATTTGGGGATCTTTACTTCTAGACATGTAATCCAGAGAATGCCAAGTTCTGTGTGTGTTTTTGTAGTTTAAGAAGCCTGTGTCCCAGAGCATGCCCATTGTGATTGCTTAAGAGATAACTTATGTCGTGATTTTTACTGGTAGCACTGGAGCCACAGCAATCAGCCTGCTCCTCTCTTCTGAGGCAGAAAGATGAGGAAGGGGCATTTTCAACTGTCTTCTTTGAGGTGCAGGGGTGGATAGAAGCCAGAAGGTTTGTACGCTGTAGGGAACCAAGGGACACACTGCGCCACCAACACTGGCACAGAGATCCACAGTTGAGTCCCCTGGCTCTGGGGGATGGATCTTTAGAGTGGAAGATGTTTCATTAGGTCTTTCAACTGAGAACATTCCTGGGGCATCCCTGACTCAGCTGCAGTGTTTGGCTACTGGAAGGAAATCAGAAACTCCATTTCCTGCCTCAGATTCTGTTGGTACCAGTAAATAAATATGTGACCAGAAATATGATCACACTTCAGCATCCTGTGGCTGGGGGTCTGGCTTATGTCAGGGTCTGTGTGTCCTGTAAGAGGAGAGAGAAACCATGGAGACTAAAGAAAAGCCCCAGGAAATCATCTTCTACACAAATTCTCACACACTCCAGAGCTCACCTGCACTCAGGTGATGCAGGGTCACCCAGCAGAGGAGCCTGGTGTTCAAGATCAGGCAGGACGAGGCTCCCCCAGCAATGGTTTCTGATGTTCAATAGCAGAGAAGAATGAAAGTTCTGGGCTCCCTTGGCTCCACAAGGTAGGATCTGACCTTGACATCACAGTCCTTGGCAACACCCAAAGCCTCAGGGCACCTTCCATGGGGGAGGAGGAAGCCTTGGTCCAAATGTTTAGCCTCATCTTTACTTTGCTACATGCATGATGTAAGCAAGGCTCCAAACTCACTTGCAGGTGCTCAGGAAAGTTAAAGATTAAGGCAAACATGAGAGGAAGTAGAAAAGGAAAAAGCAAGAAAGGAAAGCAAGGGGAAGAACAAAATCGTAGAGCATGCAGGAGACCTGCAGCTTTGTTCATCTTTCTAAGTCCTCAGGGCAGGAGTTTTCTAACGTTAGCATGAACGGAAATCACCAGGGGCTCAGTAAAATTAAGGGCATCCATAAAACTCTTCTTCAGAAATTCTACCTCTGAATTAGCTCATACATCAAGTGATACCAAGGCAAGTTGTCTCAGGCCACACTTTAACATTTTTTGAGTAGAAATTTTTAACCAAAAAGAAGACCACTTTCACATTAAACTAGAATGTTAAATTTAAATAGAACAATAATAATTTTTTTTTTCTGGGAAAGAGAAAATTAAATAAATAGATTTAACTTCTGGAAACTGCATTAATTAAAAAATAAAGAGAATAGAAAGGAAATAAACTTAATTGAAAGTGTGAATGAAGCTAAGGAAAGATAAATTTTTGAGACCTAAGACATGGTAAATACTGTCAAATGCTTTAAGGAGCTCAAATAGGCGAAGAGTCAAAAATGAGACTTTTGGTCTGATAAGTTCAAGAATTTTAATCTGTAGGAGAACAGCTTTGTAAGAATGGAAATATTTCAAGAAAACGCTGATGATGACCTCTGAAGGAGTGATTGCTCTGGACAAAAGCACAGGTGCAGGCCAGCAAGAGCAAGATTGCACTT